TCAATTCAGTCAAAATCAAATCATCATTCAAGTAAAAAAATTAATGAAATCAAAATAAAAAAATGAACCATACCAATCAGGGAAGGCCCATCGTAGACTCGGAAAGAGCCCGTTTTCGGCTAGGAAGGGGCCCACTGCAGGTTCAGAAAGGGCCCCCTCAGATCTGGAAATGGCCATAGTGAACTCAAAAAGGTCCTTACTGGTCAAGGGACCACACATTTTAGGCTGAAGACGTAAGCATCCCATATGACGAAAAGGTACTTTTCATCTTTAAGGCCCGGGATGGGCCCTTGTCCCTTTAATCTCAGAAATGAACCACGCTAGATTCGGGAAGTGTCATTTTTCACGCCCAGAAAAGGCACAGGCGAGGTCCGGAAAGAAAAGCGTCTTGCTCTTAGACCTGAAAACATTCCTCCAAGGTCTGCAAAGACCTGGGAGGGGATGATCTCATCTTGGCCCCAGAATAGGGATGGAGGTGAGCTCTACCTTAGGCTCAGAATGAGCTATCACTGATCGAGAGGATCCACATTGGCACACCTACCTGCAGAACACATCGGTAGAATGACCGAATTTTTGTGCCACCAGTATTCTGGTGATTTTGTAGCATTCGGAATCTCTAGAATCGGCCTCTGCTGGTGCTTCTGAAAGAGTATTGCAGGCAGATGGGGGGGGGGGGGGGGGGGGGTACAGGGTCACGTTTGCACCCCTAGGTTCTTCGAGATCTACAATTAAGGGTCTAAAAAACCGGTCGGAGGTTGTATTCAGTGGCCCTGGCTTGCAGGGCCGGGCGCTCCAATGTCAGCCAAAGGGTCCCCCGCGCTGATTTAGGCTCCTCAGTGGATAAGGGCCTATATGTCGGTCAGATACCACCACTAGCACACAGTCGGCTCCGTGGCGGCAGGGGCATGAGAGCCCATTTTTCAACCATGGACAAAGCCAGAGCCAGTGATTTACATCGGTCGGGTCCCTCAGCGTCAAACGGGGGTGCTGTTTTGGCAAAGAGCCCCAAGCCGGTCAGAGACAGTGTTCTAGGAAGCCCGAAAAGCCTGGAGTACGTAGCGGGTCCAACGATCGAAGGCCCCATTGGAGGGTCTAAGAGCGCGAAGGGCTGGTTGGAGTCTTATCCCGGGGTTCTGGACTGCGGGGACGGACCTTCAAATGACAGTCAGAGGACCCTTTGCACCGATCAGGGACAGCCCGGGGTTCTGGCCCGCGGGGACGGACCTTCAAATGACAGTCAGAGGACCCTTTGCACCGATCAGGGACAGCCTGAGTCGATATGGGTCTATAGGTCGGTCAGGCGCCAACAGTGCCGCACGGTCCGCTCCGTATTGGTGTGGGCCTGGGCTCCCACGTCACAATCAGCTACGAAAGCCGGAGCCAGTGATTTACACTGGCCGGCGCCCCTGTACCTGTCAGGGGCTTACAGAGCGCCTAACAGAGGGTTCTGTGTTCGCAGGGGGCCTCAGGGCGACCAAGGGCAGTGTTCGATGATGCCCGAAGAGGGGCGCGGGTGTCCCAATGGAACAGACTGTCTAAGGCCCGGATGGAGGACATAAGAGCTCGAAGGACTGGCTGTAGTTCACATCAAGAATCGCGGCCCGGTTGGGTTGTTATAAGGGTTGCGACCTGGAATATCAGTCAGAAGTCATATTGTACCGTTTAAGGACCCCCTGAGACAATACGGGTGTCTAACTCGGCCAGAGACTTCGAATACCAAACAGTTGGCTCACTGTAGGTTTGAACCCTGTGGACCCGTTTTCCAAGCAGAAGCAAGGACCGGGGGCAACGATATGCATTGGCCTGAGTCACGGAAACAGTGGTTGGGACCCCTTTGTCGGTCAGGGGCCGACACTACATAACAGGGGAACATGTCTCGGCTAGTAGCCCCCCAGTCGCTCACGGATTTTGAGGATGTCCGAAAATGGGCCGGAGGGCCGATCGGAATCAGAGATCGAGGCTCCGATTGGACTCGGACCTTTCTCCATCCGTAGTGTCATGACCTGAATTGTCAGTCCGAGGGTTTTATTAAGTACTTCTTAGAAATTTTCTCTGTATCACCATTAAAAAGGGCCTCAACACCGGGTCAAACAGTCGGCTCCATGTTCATCTGAGCCCTTGAGACCTATTTCGTAAGCAGGAACGAGGCCGGGGCCCCCGATTTGCAATGTTTGGGGTCCCTGGCACGGTGAGGGGCTCCTATGTCGGTCAGAAGCCACAGTGCCTAACAATCGGTGCAACCCCGTCTGGTTTTTCGGTGTCATTTCACAAACCCCTCCACGTATCGTAAATAATTAACGGATTAACGGTTTTGGAGCCTTTTCACGCCTGCTTGGCAAATTTTAAGTTATTTCCACGTCAGTCCACTCGCTCATGACTTTGCTCTCTCTGAGAGAAGTGTAAGAAGCAGCTAGCGGATCTAAAAGATGTTATGTATTTGAGCCACGCAGCACGTCACTCCTGCTGGCCTACAACAGCGTACACAGCTCGGTACCCTGCCCTCCAAGCTGCGCACCCCCTCGCCGTTCTCCCTGCCCAATCCTGCTGTCGCAAAAACCTTTCTTCTTCCTCTGTTCCTCGCCCCTTGCGCCCACTCCGCCGCGCACCAGATAAAGGTTTCCCTTCACACTCCCCCCAGTTCATGCGCGAACACCGCATATTGGATCGACGCTCGCCGCACAAGTCGCAGACACGTGGTCTGACCAACCGGCGACTCCTCCTGGGCTCTCCGGCGGGAGTGCCCTCTCTTTCCTCTCCCCTGTAGATCCCCTCTTCTTCCTCGGGGGGACCGCCCGCTGCCTCCTCCTGCGTCTCACCTAGCGATGGCAGTTGATGTGATTATATTGTCATAACTATTGGCGATGGCAGCAATGGGTGTACCTACCGGGGGACATGTTTCCCGCAAAAAGCCAGTAAAATACACGTTTTCAACATCTTTCCCATTCAAAATATCATAGGAAGGCTAGCCTCCTCCTGTTCTATTCCAGTTTCCACCCGGCAGTGCTGTTCTGTATCTCCTCTCAGAGTCCTTGTTACACTCGTGCTGGTGAATGGGTGCTTATTGAATGCGGGCAGATGTAACCTGCCGACTTTGCCTGCCATGCAGACGTTGCGCCAGTGTTTCTATATATAATGTGGGGAAGTGGATAACATTGGCTGTTTAACAGCATTCCACTTTTTGTCTCAATCATGACATTTTATTACGCCACAAGCATATGGCTATAAAGGTTACTCGCTGTTAGTTCAACGTGCTTATAAGCATGCTAAGTTATATATATATATATATATATATATATATATATATATATGGGCAATACAACATAAGCAGCGTTACAAACATGGCAAGAAAGTCACCGCAGCACATTTGGCTTCCCGGCCAAGCAGCCGCCAGCTGATTTACGGTATTCCGCACCGGAGCTGGCCAGAAACGAAAACGAACCTCTGTTATCTTGGTTTTGGTAGAGATCGCATTGATCTAGGATTGGTTGCAATGGAAATGGCGAGGATCTCGGGGCACCATTACCTGCTCTCCGGACGCATCCAATGCCTGTTATTCTGGTGTTGATAGAGACCCCGGGGATCTCGGGGCACCATTATTTGCTCTCCGGACGCATCCAATGCCTGTTATTCTGGTGTTGGTAGAGATCCCGGGGATCTCGGGGTGTCATCTCCTCTCCGCACACATCCAACGCCTTTCATTTCTCATTCCAGCCACGTTAGGGCCCAAACACTGACGTCGCTGATGAAGATGAGACGGCTTTACCTGCTATATGCGCCCTTGGTATTTTCCATCGCGTTCTCCACGGAATGCTACCCATTTCAGCAATTCCCCGCTCGACATAATTTGTGAAACACTGGCGCTAAAGTCTGCCGTCCAGCCGCGACAGTTGAAATGAAAAGAATCGTGCTCGGTGGGCACCAAGTGTAATGCAGGTGCCTTTGACTCGAACATACACATATCATGTAGCGTTGATTTATAGTACATCCGCATGAATTCAACGCACAATCTATGCACCATGCATCAAACCCAAAGTCGTGCATCGCTGAAATTAAAGCACTTTTCACGAGTTTTCATTCGACTGGTACTTAGTTTGGTCCCATCCCACTCCACAGACACCTTTTATTTCAGCCGTCACCTTTCCTAGCAAACTTTTGCTGTTTCGTAATATTATGCTGATTTGCCATTTTATGTTCATGTCTTTGGTCCCGCGGAGCCACACATAAACGTCGCGGACGTGGAATAGCGACTAGGCTCGTGATGGTGAAACAAAATACACTCAAAGTGAAAATTTAGGGCTATTTGATGTCATCGACAACAAATCATGAGTTTCACCCTGCGTTTTTAACATTCAGATTGAGCATGAAAACAGATCCCTATCTAATATTGTTTTCCCGAAAAGGGCGTATGTCAAATATATCGGCTCAACAGGTTCCACAAAATGGCGAAGTTCCCAAAAGAAAGAGATTGAAGACTAGAATGAACGCACACTATTCCGTGGTAATGCAGGCAGATATTTCGTTACATTGCAGTGAAATGTGTAATGTTTGCAGTGGTTAGTTTTCGAGCAAAGGTACTCTTTGCGGTGGAATTTCATCCATGATGTAATCTGTAAATCACATTTTAAGAACCACATTGCAGAGAGTGCACGCGCTGTGTTACAAGGAGAGAGGAAAGAGAAAACCAAGCTAATGATTCATCAGCGTTTATTCATGCCCTTCAAACTGCATAAACAGCACAAACACTTTTGATTACTGAATTTCAAACGCCTCTTTGCAAACGATCACGGTTACCGTAGGCCACACAACAGTAGCGGAACGTGGCCTAAAACCCTTCATGTGCAAAGCTTAGATATAAGTTTATTGCAGCGACATTTTGAGCCTAAAGCTTCCTACAACGGACCTAAACATGCAAGTATCTTAACATGGCACCATGCGCACTTTACAAAGAGCGCCAGGGAAGCAGCAGTCACAGACATTAATTCCTAGTCACAGTAGCCTGTCATGATATAGCTCGGCGTCCAATTATTCTGCAAACACACTTATTCGAAACCCGCCCGTCCAAATCTTAAATACCACCTGCTTTGCTAATGCCACTGTTTTTCAACACAGTCACCACTTGTGCCATGTCGAAAGTGTTCACAAACAGCTGAGTAAATGATGAATGCCTCACATATCTCGCGGTCGCCGTCCCGCCCGGACCACCCGGCGGTGCGACGCCCAGCGCTCACGAGCCTGCCCTGACACACACGGACAAGTGTGGATGAGGGGAGCCGGTGCGCACGAGACTGCCCTGACACACACGGACAAGTGTGGATGAGGGGAGCCGGTGCGCACGAGACTGCCCTGACACACACGGACAAGTGTGGATGAGGGGAGCCGGTGCGCACGAGACTGCCCTGACACACACGGACAAGCGCGGATGAGGGGAGCCGGTGCGCACGAGACTGCCCTGACACACACGGACAAGTGCGGATGAGGGGAGCCGGTGCTCACGAGACTGCCCTGACACACACGGACAAGTGTGGATGAGGGGAGCCGGCGCGCACTAGACTGCCGCTCTCCTGAGGTCAGCCGGCCGACCGTCTACGCGTCGCACGCCGGCTCCGGGATGGAGAAGTCACGCAGAACCCGGTTGATGGTGCGCAGCAGCGGGTAGGGCTCGCAGCCGCACGTGGTGCCGCGGAAGTCGTCCAGGTCGAGCGCCCAGATCATGCCGCCGCCCAGGCCCATGTCTTTGATGTACTGCGACTGAAAACGGAAACACGCTCGGAATCAGTTCAGGGTCGCGGTTAATTGGCATAATACTGAAAGGTAAGGAAGAGACTAAATTGGTGATAAGAGTTCACCACCTTCGGACAACCGAGCAACTGTGATATTAGTGATAAGATTCCAACACCTTCAAACAGCCGAGCAGCTGTGATCCAGATCACACCGTGGCAAAACACGCGTTGCGCAGCGTTTAGGGCACTTAAGCATTATTTCGGATGAAGCAGAGTTGCACTGGTGCACGATTAATACCAAAGTGCCTCCTTACCTTCTGTCTAATCATCTTCCTGTCATCGTAAGAGAACCATTCCTGACCCCTGTAGGCGTATGGGCCCATGCGGTTCTCCGGATCCTTGACGACCGTGTAGCCTTCATGCTGCACCTTCTCACAAATCTATGGGAAAATATGGACCATTAATTGCGTTTGGCACATCCCCACTTTCAATCTATGCCTCGAAGTCAGATGTCCGCTTTAAAATTTAAACACCGCGACATTGCGAATTAAAAGAAACAATTTATTGCTAGACACGTACTTTGATTCCAAGACTGGATACATGATCTCACATGGCTCTATGTTTACGAGATCCTGGGATACACTGGGGGCTCCAGCACGTCTGTTTATCTAGTAAAAATCTTGGAAGCTGTTTTTGTAGAGCAGAGCTCATACGAACTTGAGCTCTCTTTGCAACGGATTCATTCGTCATGGTCGAATGGAGTTTCTGACATACCGGTACAGGCTGCAAATATTATTGGGCAGCATTCAATGCTACATTAAATGCCTGCAAAACACCTTCACTCAACAACAAAATCGCATAAAAATGCACATATGTGCGTCTTCAATGCTTCAGTCACAGCATGGCGGGGAGAAAAGAGCGATCTTCCCATAAAAGGACCGATTACCATCCATGTGTCTTTTCACACGAGCCAGACATATTTCAGCGCACGATCAATGCGGTAAGCTCCCAAACAACTCATCGAGCCACTCCAGGTCTCGGATGGCACACACCAAGCGACTGTCTGGCTCAGTTCCGCCAGCTACACAGAGCAGTACGATCTCCCATCCTAGTCTGAAGATCACGGCGGCTAGCTGTGCGCTGCCACGCCCCTGATCCTCATGACGTCACAATCTTGTTTGCCTGAGATGGTTCATCTCCAGCCGCGCTGCCACTCACCTCGTAGAAGGCGAGGAAGCCGGCGGCGCGGGTGTACTTGCCGGCCTTGCCCTTGCCATAGGACTTGGCGTTGAGGCCGTGCTTGGAGGCCTCAGTCAGACCGAACGACTGGCCGTACATGGGCATACCCATCACGATCTTCTTGCGGTCCGCGCCCAGCTCGATCCAGTAGTTGATCGTGAAGTTCTGCGGAGGCGGACGCCCGGTCCGTCAGACCACGCGGTACCAGACCACGCGGGACGTGTTGCGTGGAAGCTGAGCAAGCCAACGGCGGTGATGGCGCCGCGCTGTGTTTGCAGAGGAGCAGATGGCTCATTGAATAGGTAGAAAGGTGACAGGGTCGTGGATTTACTTCAAATCACGTGTCGTCAGACATGAAACGGAGGTAGGTTGTCTAAATGAGCCAGGATCATTACAATCACATGACATTATTCCTGTCAAGAAACGTGACTTTGGGTGTGGTACGTACGGCGTTGAAGTACGAGATGTCGTCTTCGGGGTGGTAGTACATGGGAGCGACGTGTCCGGTCTTCTTGTCCCAGTGGCCGTGGAAGTCGTACGTCATCACCGAGATGATGTCCAGGTACTTGGACAGCATGGGCACCTCGTACCCTGCATCACAACCACCACTTGGTTGGCGTTTGTATCGTGGGGATCAGAAACGCTACATGGCCGACTAAATTCGTGACTTTTGCTTGTGTCACTATTAAAAGTACCAACCAAATGCAGCCACGAGAGGTCACGTTAGTACCGCATTACATTTGTAGGCCGACAACAAGTCCGCTGCCGACACGCCGGGCCTGCGAGAGGAGCCCGGCTTCGCGCGTGTGGACAGATCGCCGCTCGGCACTGCCGAGCTGCCATCACCCCGCTCATCGCCGCTCGGCACTGCCGAGCTGCCATCACCCCGCCCACTGACCGGCATCGATGACCTTCTTGTTGGGCGACACGGCGGCGGTGAGCAGCCAGCCGCGGGGCTCGAACGCCTCCTTCAGCTCGCGGATCCAGGCCGTGAAGGCCGTCTTGTCCGAATCAGGGCCCTTAGTGCAGTCCACCTGATGGGGCAGGAGCGTGGCGGTCGGTTGTCTTTACGGCCAGCGACTTACACTTAACGCCTGGGACGGACGGGTTAGGGCGGGCTGGGCTGCTGGCTGTTCTCGTAACGGGCAGTTACGAATGGGTCGGAGAGAGCCAGCAATTTTCACGGCAGGCAAATGTCGCGCAACGCAACGCCTTCTGCAGAAACGGCTACTGTCGTCGCGTTCCTTGCAACAGCAAATGCCAAACGCATCTGCTGTGTCTATCCGTTACACAATGACCACGGGCAACAGGAACCATTTCGGTGTCAGCCGCTTCGTCAAAACGCTTTTCGTCGCACTCTTGCCTCTCTTCCGGCCAAGCACGAGTCCTTACCTGCCAACACTTGGGGTATTCCCAGTCGAGGTCGAGACCGTCGAAGTTGTACATCTCGATGAAGGCGATGATCGACTCGAGGAAGCGACGCCGCTTCTCAGGACTGTTGACCATCACGCTGTATTTGCTGCCGAGCGAGTCGTTCCAGCCGCCGAGCGCGATCAGCACCTTCACCTTATCAGACTTCAGTCCGCTGACCCTGGTGTAGAACTCTGCCGACGCCGGAGGGGAGCACGTCAGCGAGCGGCCCGACACAACAGCCACAGTTGCGTTACCGTATTCAACGGTCACCTTCGTGTAGCGGCGAGATCAGGACGGGAGCCAAGCCACAGCACATAACGAGCGAGGTCAGGACTAAGCACCGGATCGTGAGCGGGTCGGCTTCGCGCGGTAGTCAGCGACGCGCGATGGCGGTGCGCGTGTCAGCGTGCGGGCGGCGCGCCCGGAGATGGCCTCACCGTTGTCGATGTCGGCCCACGGGTCGTGCGTCTTGATGGTGAACGTCTGCGGATGCAGCGTGGCGAAGCCGTACACGATGTGGGTGCAGAGGCTGGTGTCGATCCGGGAAGGCGTGTACTTGCCCTTGCCGCGTCTGGGGACGAGAGGCACCCACAGAACTGATCACGCCACTCACTATCCGACGCGGTTATGTTTTTATTAATAATGCTCATGCTTATTATGAAGCGGACACCAAACAAAGACAAACTAAGCCCTGATACATGCGGAGGAGCCAAAACATTTTGCATTTAACGCAGTCAAATGAAGTGCAACCTACCGCGCAGAGAACTGCATGAATTGGCGTTTGATACGATGCCAATACAGCCATACATTGAAGGTGAACACGCGACCGCGTTCGAGCGGACGTCCCTCTCGGCGACGTCTCCGCTTCCCTCCTGACGACCACGCCAGCCTCTCGCGCGGCGCCGCTCACCTGTACCAGGCCCAGTTGGTGAAGTAGCAGACCACCTTGTAGCCGGTGTCCTGGGTCATGCCCGGCTCCGTGCTGGTGGTGGGCGCCGCCGGAGTGGTGGTGACCGTGATACCAGGCCGGGCCGGGCTGGTGATGGTCTGACCCCCAGAGCCGGAGCTCGAGCTCTCCGTCTGGCCAGCCGTCGGGCACTTGGCCGACGCCGGCCAGTCGCACTGAGTCTTCTCCTGTGCACATGGGAGACGGTGTGCGTCAGCGGGGGGCCACATGGACCTACGGCGGTCATGCACACCAGCGTGGAAGCAGGAGACTGTCCTGCCTGGGCTGGCTTGTGCTCTGATCAATTGCACTGAAATCAACAAACTAATACTGTCACCATCAACACTGGAAGCAGGCCCTCGCCTCGTCCGAGAACAGCCTGCGTCAGGTGCCGCTCGTGCCCTTACCCTGTTGTAGTGGGTGCCGGGAGGACAGTACATGTCCATCAGGGAGCCGTGCACGCAGGTGTAGTATTTGTCACACTCGACGCTGGGGAACTTGCCGCCCTCCTGCGTGCACTTGCTGCCAGACTGCAGCTCCTGGGAAGGACACCACGCCGCGTCAGCGCGTGTCAGCAGACGCGGCCAGTGCGTCAGCAGTCAGCAGATGCGGCCCGTCAGCTCAGCAGTGGGGACGCGATAGTTACGATGTCAGCGCCCATAGACCGTCGGCGTACGGCGGCGGATGCCTCCTGACTACATGCGGGTTCTGGAGTGCTAAGACAAACTTATTATTAACCCAAGAAGCTGGAATAATTTATTCCACAGCTGCAGTTGCAGAAGTGACATGAATGAACACGCTGCTTCTTGTCTGCGCAAAACGACTTGTTTACGGTGTAACAGCTCTGGACGTAACCCCAGTCTGTAAACAAACGTATGTTTGGGTTCATTATACAGTAAGACGAGATTCCCTGATACACATCCCTGCAGCACACAATGAAAGGCAATACCTTCTGTCCTCCAGGCATAGACGGCTTCATTGTCATCTCCACCTTCTCCGTCGTCATCTCAGGAACCATGGCCTTCTCCGTGGTGGTGGTTGTGGACGTGGTGGAGGTGGTAGTTGTGGACGTGGTAGTAGTAGTGCTGGGAGATTTGCTAGACGTCTGGTCATTCCCCGTCGGTTCCACCTTTCCTTCCAGCTGTAACCATCGTGTTTAGTTTAAGTGACGCCACATAAAAATGTTAAGGAGTATATGTGGTATAAGTCGTGGCGTACTCTATGTTGGCGTTTAAATTGTCTGTGTGATTACTCTAGTAATAACACTGAAATCCACGTCCTTTCTCAAACGAGCGAGCAAGACATTCACCACTAAACATTGCTGCCACCCACATGCACTGCGAACCGTCTAAGTTGCCAATAAACCTGTCCAAACGCCATACACCAGATCATGAACTGGTCTTTGAGCTCCGCCCCCGGCCAAGATCGGCGTTCCTGGAAGTCACGGTCTGGGTCTGGGACGTGAGTTAGCTGCGTCCTACACTTACAGTGGTGGAGGTGTCTGACGGCTCGGTGGCAGCCTCTTCTTTCTTCCTTTCACATTTGGCACTCCCGGGGAAGTCGCAGATCTCCGCCTGCGCGCTCCAGTGCAGGCCCGGCGGGCACGGCATGATGAGGTACTCGTTGTTGTTGCACAGGAGGTACTTGTTGCAGTCGGTGTGAGGACGGTACTCGCCCTGGTTGCTGCAGGAGCCGCCGGTCTGCAAGCGCGCACACAGTTAAGGGGCTGGCCAGCGGGGACCAGTGCCGGGTGAGGGGCTGGCCAGCGGGGACCAGTGTCGGATGAGGAGCTGGCCGGTGGGGACCAGTGTCGGGTGAAGAGCTGGGCAGCGGGGACCAGTTTCGGGTGAGCTGACGCTGAAGCGCAGGATCACCACAGCATCGTAATATATGCTGAACATTGAAATGCGTATGGGCGGCTGTACGGTATAACACTTGTTGCATGCACTCAGTGTGGAATGGATCGTCTAAGAGGTACGTGAGGAAAGAGTAAGACTCTTATTAGCAAACCCATGCCTTGTACAGATAAATTGTTTTTGTCGACAGCAGCCCATCCCCAGCACAGCCACACTGCTGTGTTCGGTGACGGCAGCCATATTACCAGCTCTAATAATATATGAAGATAACGCCTTCTTCCCCCTGCATCCGCTGCAGCACACCGCCACCCTGTCACTGCTGGTCCCTCCCGGTTTCTCCCGGGTCTCCATGTCCTTCCCGATTTCTCTCGCTTCTTCCCCATCCTCGGGTCCCATTTACTCCCTCCCGATCCCTCCCGGTCCTTCCCAGTCCCCTCCAGTTTCTCCTGGTTCCTTCCGGTCCCTCGTGCTGACTCACCGCGGGTGGCTTCGGCGGAGGCTTCGGCGTGGTGGTAGGTGGTGGTGGTGGCAGCCCTCCGGGCCCACCTCGCCCGGAGGCGGCGGCTCGGTGGCCTGCACCACCGTTCCGCCAACCTCACAGGACTGGCCCTCCGGGTAGTTGCGCAGCACGCGGTTGATCGTCTTGAGCAGCGGGTGCGCCTCGCAGCCGCACCGGTTCCTGAAGTCGTCCAGGTCGAGCGCCCAGATCATGCCGCCGCCTAGACCCATGTGGCGGACGTAGTTGGACTTGTAGCGGATCGTCTCCACGTCGTCGAACGACACCCACTGACTGCCGCGGTAGGCGTACGGGCCCATCCGCAGCTTGGGGTCCTTGACCACCGTCCAGTCCTGCGTCTTGATCTTGTGGCAGATCTCGTAGTAGGCGAGGAAGCCGCCGGCGCGCGTGAAGCGGCCGGCCTCACCCTTGCCGTACGCCCGCGCGTTCAGTCCGTTCACGCTCGTGTCCGCGAGGCCGAACGACTGGCCGTACATCGGCATGCCCATCACGATCTTCTTGGGGTCAGCGCCCTGCTCGATCCAGTACTTGATGGTGAAGTCCTGCCGAGTGGGTGACAGGTCAGGATGTGCGCAGTGCTGGAACCCTCAGAATCTTACGGGGCCCGGCGTCACCTGCCGGTCAACTACTTTTCTTATTAGTTTCTTATTAGTTTTCTTATAAGTGACATGCAAAAATATGGTAGTTTTCACACCTGCCAAAATAAGTCACATCTCGCTTTTTATCCAATTTTATTGGGAGCACCCCGTGTGCATGCCAGGTTGTGTAATGCGTCCCGTTCAGCCGCATGAACAGCTAGTGGAATCGAAGTAAAAACAAGAAGCCTTACCGTGTTGAAATACTTGACTTCGTCAGTGGCGTGTTCATACATGGGGGCAACGTGTCCGGTCTTCTTGTCCCAGTGGCCGTGGTAGTCGTACGTCATCACCGAGATGATGTCCAGGTACTTGGAGAGCATGGGCACCTCGTATCCTGCACCGCAGAGCACACGTCAGCACCAAATTAAGTCGTCTAAGTCGGGCTCCACCAAACAATATGGATCTGTGTGTCCATGCACAACGTATACCGCAGGTTAAAGTTTGGTATATTTCCATGGCAATCGATATCACTAACAATCCCTAAAACGTACCAGCATCGATGACCTTCTTGTTGGGCGACACGGCGGCGGTTAGCAGCAGGCCCTTCGGTTCGAACGCCTCCTTCAGCTCACGGATCCAGGCCGTGAATGCTGTCTTGTCCGACTCGGGACCCTTGCTGCAGTCCACCTGACGGGGAGCACATCGGGTCAGTCGTTACCGCAGCGGGCCACTGCGCTGATGCGTGACACACCCAATCCAGCGCAGACGGAGCATTTTCTGTTTTCTTACGATGACGAATGCACGCGTCTATTCGTACGCAAAACTCCAGAACTGTAGCGAGAACGATGGCAGATGGACTCATTATTGGGACTGTTGTCGCTGATTTCCACCCATCGCTTAGCCCGATATTTTTTTCCGGCTTAACGTCGTACGATGACGGGGCAGACAACTGACTGATGCGATTTGTGCAAATTAACGCGATTCAAAGGGATCATCTTCGTGCGCTTATTTGGCCCGTGCTGCCAGCTGGTCTCAAACATTCCGTGAGACTATAATGAGGCCACTATCAGACCTGAAACAGGTCCATCACACCTGCCTGAAACACAACCCGTCATGCACTCGGCCACCTTCCTGCCAGCCTCGTGTTTTTACCTGCCAGCACTTGGGATATTCCCAGTCCAGATCGAGGCCGTCGAAGTTGTACTTCGTCACAAACTCCACCGCCTGCTCCACGAAGCGCCTGCGGCGATCCGGATTGTTGACGAGCTTGCTGTACTTCTCACCACGGGAGTCGTTCCAGCCGCCCAGCGCCAGAATCACCTTGATGCCCTTTTTCTTGAACTCGGTCACCTTGGCGTAGAACTCGTTGTCGAGATCGGCCCAGCTGTCGTGCGGCCGTATGATGCCCTGGTCACCGTTGAGCACGGCAAAGCCGTACATGATGTGTGTGCAGAGGTCAGGGTCGATGTTGGACGGTCTGTACTTGCCCTCGCCGGGCCGGTACCAGGCCCAGTTGGTGAAGTAGCACACCACCTTGTACTCGCCTTCAGCCGCGGGCCCGAACGGACCTAGTGCAGGCGGCCCGGACATTTCAGCGCCCATGTCCGTACCGGAGCCCATGTCCGTAGACCCAGTGCCCATATCAGGCTTTTCCATACCCATATCTGGTTTCTCAGTACCCATATCCGGTTTCTCAGCACCCATGTCCGGTTTCTCAGCACCCATGTCCGGTTTTTCACCACCCATGTCCGGTTTCTCACCACCCATATCTGGCTTTTCCGTACCCATATCCGGTTTTTCGGCAGCCATATCTGGTTTTTCCATGCCCATATCCGGCTTTTCGGCACCCATATCTGGCTTCTCCACGCCCATATCTGGTTTCTCAGCGCCCATTCCTGCGGATCCAGGACCCATGGTCTCGCCTCCCATTCCGGCTGTGTTCATCAGCAGGCCGTCCGCGATAATCGTCAGCAGCGGGTACTTCTTCTGTGAGCAGACGCCGTTGAAATCGTCCAGGTCGAGCGCCCAGATCATGCCTCCGCCAAGGCCCATCGTTTTGATCCACTGAGTCTTGCGCCGTATGGAAGCCTCGTCGTCGAAGGAGACCCACTGGTTGCCCTTGTAGGCGTACGGTCCCATGCGATTCAGCGGATCCTGCACCGTCGTCCAGCCTTCCTGCTGGCGCTTGCAGATCTGGCAACAGACGGAGAACGGGTCTCAGCACAGACGCAGTGCCGAAACAGAGTTGAGCCGCGCCGCAGCTGGGCACCAGCAATCCGTTCTATTCACGCACCCCCCAGTCAGGACGGTGCCCACCGCACAAAGCGTATTGCTTTTCCAGAACAGTAGTTGTTAAATGACATCCTTTGCAAAATTTCCAGAGTGACTGCAAGGTGATTTAATTGCTCTACCACACCACCACTTGCCAATGCGAGTGTACTGTAATGATACATAACCCCCATGCATGCATGGGCAGACGACGTCGAGGCCTGCGCTCCAGTTCACAGCTCTCCGGCATCCGGCGCCAGTGTGGGCGTCGTCCGACCTCCGCAATTATCACCTCGTAGTAGGAGAGGAAGCCGCGGGCGCGGGTGGCCTCGCCGGCCGCGCCCGGACCCGAGATGGGCGCGTTCAGGCCGTTGTTGGAGGCGCTCGTCAGCGTGAAGGACTGGCCGTACAACGGCATGCCCATCACGATGTTCCTGGCGTCGGCGCCCTTTTCGATCCAGTACTCGATGGCTGATTTCTGTGGAGAGAACGCTTCGCTGAGTGGGGTGGTCGGGTCGGCAGGTTTCCGTATCGCAGAATCCGAATATAGCGGCAGACAAGCGCAATACACGCTTCTTCACCACTGTTGTACGCCATTAAAAGGCAGTTATCAAGTATGCGACGTCTGTCATTGCAACAATACCACTGATGATACTTGCGATGTTTTATGTGTATATATTGGCACCGGACTTCCCAGATTCCCACCAACACGATGACACTGAAAAAGTACTCTCCAGCATTTCATAAGGGGGGGGGGGGGGGCGGCAGAAAGGTTACGCTTCAGAGCGGCGGCAATCGTGGAGGAGGGGGGGGGGGGCCGAAATTGTGCGCTTCGCAACGGCCGCAACGGCGAGAAATAGCTGCATCTTACATGTACGACTGCCCCTTCTCTTTGAAGAGCAGGCATGCTCATAGGACGTTGTACTGCTTCGATGCCCTCAGAAGGCAACTCACCACGTTGAAGTAGTCGTAGTCGTCCTCAGGATGGGCCTCGAAAGGTGCCACGTGTCCGGTCTTCTTGTCCCAGTGGCCGTGGAAGTCGTACGTCATGACGGCGATCCAGTCCAAGTACTTGTTGACCTCGGCCACGTCATACCCTGTGCAGCGGTGCATCACAGATAAACGGCAGCCAACCCGGAAAATGACGGCTTCGGGCTCTAGATAGGCGACCCTTCTACGGGTCACTGCGTCCACGACAGTGGCATGATGTGCCGGTAGCCGTACGGTTGAGGCTTAAGGATCAAGCAACTGCGCTGCATCGAACTACACCTAATTTCAACTCCTAGTGACAGATAAGCGTCATCGGCCATAAATACATTTCAAACAGCTGCTCCCAGCCATTTAGCTGTAGCTCTCCGCAGAGGGTGAGCGATTGTGGTGCGCGGCTTGGCGCCGTGTCCGTCACTGACCATTGTCGATAACCTGCTTGCTGGGCGAGACGGCGGCCGACAGCAGGTAGCCATGCGGCTTGAAGGCCTCCTTCAGCTCGCGCACCCAGGCCGCGAACGCCGGCTTGTCGCTGTCGGGGCCCTTGCTGCAGTCCACCTGGCAAGTAGTTCGCTTACGTCAGGGCGCGCGCCAGACAGGCTAGCGATGCCGAGCTCACTACAGGGGTGGCGCCAGGCAGGCTAGCGGTGTCGGGCTCACTACAGGGGTGGCGCCAGACAGGCTGGCGGTGTCGGGCGCACTACAGGGGTGGCGCGAGACAGGCTAGCGGTGTCGGGCTCACTACAGGGGTGGCACCAGACGGGCTAGCTGTGTCGGGCTCACTACAGGGGTGGCACCAGACGGGCTAGCTGTGTCGGGCTCACTACAGGGTTGGCACCAGACAGGCTAGCGGTGTCGGGCTCACTACAGGGATGGCACCAGATCGGCTTAATTAATTACAGATCAGTATGGAAAACGAACACTACATGGAGCACAAGAGAGTGAGCAGTGGCGCATTACAAGCGCAAGACGAAGTCACGTTAAGTGACAAGACGCACTGCACTTTTCTTTGCTACATTAACATTTCCTCTCCCTAGCACTAGTAAGTCTTCGGCAGCTGTGGGTAGCAAGGCTATCTCACCTGCCAGCACTTGGGGTACTCCCAGTCAAGGTCGAGACCATCAAAGTTATGTTCCTTGATAAACTCCAGGACGTCGTCGATGAAAATCTTCCTGAACGCGGGGTTGTTGACAAGCAGACTGTACTTGTTGCCCATGGAGTCGTTCCAGCCGCCGAGCGCGATCAATACCTTCTTGCCCATCTTCTTCAGATCGGTCACCTTCTTGTACATCATGTCTGCGAAGTCGGCGCGATGAGTTGCATCGCCCACACTGAGAGTGCCGATGTTCGCTTTGGGAGGGGAGTGTCTGTATGGGACCACCTGTCAGAAATTCCTTAAACAACATCAATCGCATTCAGGGTACGTTCGGGCGCGACACACGGCAGATGCGCCAGCTTTTGTCGCATATCACCGCCCGCCCCATCCGGACCGTTCAGCTTTGCGATGACTTAAGCACCCCCTCCCCCGAACCGGGGCACGGTTCCGGTGCCGTGACCGCGAGAGTGCGGTGCCTTACTCGGCTCGTCGATGTCCGCCCAGCGGTCGAAGATGCGGATCTTGTGGGTCGAGTAGTCGAGGGTGGCGAAGCCGTACACGATGTGCGTGCAGAGGCTGGGGTCGATGTTCTCTGGCGTGTACTTGCCGGTGCCAGGGCGGTACATAGCCCAGTTCGTGAAGTAGCACACCACCTTGTACATGGCTGGAAAAGGAGGTGCTGGTGAGGGGACACCAGTGGACGTCGTGGGCACTTTTAACGCCTAGTGCTGCAGCGCGGGGTTGAGTTTGAGAGGCGTGATGCCGTCGGGTGCCGCTTGGTCGTTGCGACTCACAACACATGACCTGGTGCTCCTGGCAGCGACACCACACCCGACAGACACTTGTTTGCTGATCTGAGTTGATTTTCGAGAGACTAATGAAAATGATCGCCGGCGGGATTACGCTAAGCACTTTGTAACGCGCGGGTCTCCTTTCGATATCGGTATCCGAGTCCAACTCTCCGCTTACACGGGTCGCGGGTGGTCATTCCTGTGTCGGGCATGGCCGGCTTCTCGGTGGCTGTCATCGCACTGGTCGTGCTCTGATCTTGGGCCGAAGCCGTAGTCATGGCCGACGGCGTCTCCATGGTGGCGCCACCTGTGCAGGCAGGCGGCGGCAGGATGTCAGCGCGGTGGAGTCGCCAGGCGGCGCCGTCGGCCGACGGCAAGCACCTCCAGTACGGTGGAAGTATCGGGTAAGAGGGAGAGGTCACGCAACAGGTGTCGGGTGGCAGGAAGAGGTCACACTACATGCCCCGTACGGATTGACACTCTTCTCGTTCGTGGGGAAATGCTCCGCCTCGTGATGTTTCAGTCGCCTCACATGATAGTTGTCCTCGCAGTCGTTTATCTACTCTCCATACGCGGCTCTGTACCTGCCGTTCCTTTTTGGAACCCATACAACACTACCACTACAGTGATATGGGAATCGCTATAGTATCTCCTCACGCCTCCTGCTTCCTCACAACAAATGACACAGAAATCGTTGAAGGGGACCAAAGACGCATTACGAAAATAACAACAGGCATACCACGTGCTCACCAAAGTCACTACGGTGCTGATACGCTCTCCGGATCTACTGCACGGTGAGTTCGGTCCGGTTGTCAAGTGCCTCGCAAGACGGTGCCTAAGTGCCTCGCTGACCGAGACAGCTCGGCCGGAGCGTGCCGGCGTGACGGTGACACGGCCGGCGTGACGGTGACACGGCCGGCGTGACGGTGACACGGCCGGCGTGCGCCGTCAGTATACTCACCCCCCGAGCTGCATTCGGTGTTCTCCGGCCAGTCGCAAATCTGGCGCTGCTGATTCCAGACCAGGCCTGGCGCACACTGCTGCGTCAGCTTCTCGCCGCCCAGACACCAGCTGTACGCTTGGCAGGTGCCCGGGATAGGACTGAAGGTGCCTGCAGACGGAACAGGCGGCGTCAGAGCGGGGACACTCTGCCGGGCTCTGTGTTCGCGACACTTCTGGATCTGTGATCAGGAGGTAGCCACGGCCCCAGTCCCAGCGAAGCGAAAGCAGAGAGGAAAATCAGAGGGCTTTAACGACGGCTGCTGATACCAAGTGTTTCCAAAGTCGCGACACCATTCATGATATCATGCAGAGGATTGTATGCATACTTACATGATGTGCGTGAATTGCATGATAAGCAGAAAGAAAGAACAAAGTTTCAATGCTTTCTGCTACGCTCGAACAGAACCCACTTGAGCAGAATCAAGTGCAACAAGGTACTATCTAAGCGGCGGACATCTTACCATCTTCGCATTTCTCAGTCCTCGGGATGTTCTCCGAGGTTGTCATGGGCTTCTCAGCGGGAGCCATCGTCACGTCGTCGACCGTGGTGCGCCTCTTAGTTGTGGTGGTCATAGTGGTGGTCATTGTGGTGGGCTTGGTAGTGGTAGTCGTGGTGGTAGTCGTGGTGGTAGTCGAGGGAGCGGTGGAAGTGCTGGGATTCTCGGTAGAACTGCTTGCAGCCATTTCTGGTGACATCTCTTCCGTCTCTCCTTTAACTGTTGAGGACGATAGATTCGGCATATAAGAACACACATGAGATCATTTGTGGAAGTCTGTTGGTTTACGTGTTCAACGCTTGAGTGACCTTGCGTGATCCCACATGAATTGTTTGACAGCAGCATACGCTGGCCATGTCTGGCTTACGTGTGAACTAAGCCTGGCATCTTCAGACACACCCCACCTTCCGTCCTCCTTGCAGCTCCAGACACACACCCCAACTCCCGGGCTCCTGGCAGCTCCAGACACACACCCAACATCCCGTCCTCCTGGCAGCTTCAGACACACCTCACCTCCCGTCCTCCTGGCAGCTCCAGACACACACCCCACCTCCCGTCCTCCTGGCAGCTCCAGACACACACCCCATACCTCGCCCTCCTGGCAGCTCCAGACACACACCCCACCTCCCGTCCTCCTTGCAGCTTCAGACACACACCCCACACCTCGTCCTCCTGGCAGCTTCAGACACACACCCCACACCTCGTCCTCCTGGCAGCTCCAGACACACACCCCACCCCCTGTCCTTCGCCGCCCACGTCTACTCACCTCCCTGCTTGATCTGGCATTTGACCGCGTCCGGCCAGTCGCACTGGCTCGACTCCGGGTTGAAGTGAAGTGGCGATGAGCAGGTCAGTTTGATTGGGCCCTCGGGCGTCTTGCGATAGTAGGAGGAACAGCTCTCCGGGTCGGCCGCGAATCCGATAGCGTTGAACTTGAGACCGCCAGGCGCCGGGCTTGTCATGTGCGGAGCTTCGGTGGAGGCGGCGCTCGTTGTTGCTGGGGTAGTGGTGGAGGTGGTAGTGGTAGTGGGAGCGGTGGTAGTCGTCTTCTCAGTTGTCGTGGTAGTGGTGGTGGTGGTGGTGGTGGTAGTCTCGGAAAAGGCTGGCCGGGGTCGTTTCGTAGTCGTCGGGGACTGAACTGAAAGCCAACAAAACATTCTTAGTCGAAATATTCAAACGTTACATTTCACGTTCATTCGGTTGTTTCGACTTAGATAACCATGCGCAAGTGCCCTATAATGGCTACACATATACCTTAATCCATACTGGGTCCCCGCACTATAGCAACGCACACTGACAGTCACCTTCTGCTTGGGCCGTTACGGCTTTTCGCCCGACACCCTGCCTCGGATGACCGGCGCGTTTGGCAGCACGACGGCGAGGTGACCCATCCACACCCCTGGGGCTGTCCCCCACCCCTGTGAGCGGCCCATCCGACAGGGGCTGCGTACCAGCGCCGGAGTCATAGGTAGTCGTCATCGGAGGCGGCGCGGGCGTGACCGCCGGCGGCGGCTGCTTGCAGCTGGCCTGCACCGGGCCCGACGGCACGCCGCGCAGCGCGCGCGACACGGCGCGCAGCAGCGGCTGCGGCTCGCTGCAGCACTTGTTCTCGAAGTCGTCCAAGTCTGCGGCACGCGCGCCGCCGGGTTAGCTGGCCGCACAGCGACGGTGTGCTCGACGTTCATACGACACCGGCGTGTCGGCCGGTCACACGACGACGCACCATGCCCGCATGGCGTCGTTGTGTCCGTACACGACACCGGTGTGTCCGCTGCTTACACGACAACAGCACACAACGCTTACACAGTGCTGTCGTTTCAGATAATTGTGCATCAGCATTTAAAACAAGATAATGGACCAAAGCATCGGTTGCGTTAACGCAATAACATGGTGCAGGCGAGCGATCGTCAAACAGGGAGGCGTCAGTCAGTGGCGCTTATTCTCAGCTTGTGAACGACGACATTTGGACAATTCAAACGTACCCAGGGTCCAGACCATGGCTCCACCGAGACCATTGGACGCGATGTAGTCAGCCTTCTTCTTGATGGACTGGACGTCCTCGTAGCTGACCCACTGGTCCTTGAGGTACATGTAGGGATCTCCGTTCGCCGTCCTCTTCGACATCCAGCCAGTCCGCACTGCAAACCAAAAAACATTAGCCGCGAGAATAAGTAGGACGCGAATGGTTAAAGTAAGGACGCGCGTAAAAGTAGCTTACGGCCTTAACCAATTCTAGGCTTGGATATTCACAACGCATCGCTTCGAATTCGCTCTCATTTAACACTGCAAGAAGCATGCAAAGCAATACTGACGTTTTTTTAAAACGTTTTTAGCTTTTAAATTGATGCGTCTTTCTCCACAGTTTTTGATGATCGGTCGGTGGTAAAAGCGGCGGGCTTGGGCGGCCATGCGGGTGCCGTCCGCGGGCGTCACCATCACGTGTTCGTGACGCGAGGCCGTGGGTACTCACGCCTGAAGCAGATCTCGTGGTAAGCGAGCATACCCCGCTGCTGCGTCTTCTCGCCGGCCAGGCCGGGCCCGGCCGCCGGCGCCGCCACGCTGTGCCCGCCCGTGGACAGCTTGTACGACTGGCCGTAGAACGGGATGCCCACCACCATCTTGGCCTTGTCCAGGCCCATGCGGGCGTACAGCTTGACGGCCCGCGTCCTGGAACGCACGGGACGCGGGTGAGTCGTGCGCGCCGGGGCCGTCACGCTGGAGAGGCCGTCAGGCTGGACTTGACTGGAGGGCGCAACGAAGGGTGCACAGCACCCAACCCCGAACGGGTTGCAACGGGTCGCTGACCTCATTTGTCGACACGCTCTAAAACCACGATAAACGACAACGGCAACGCAGTATGGGTGACTGGCCGTCTTTTAACTCGCTGGAGTTTTACCGACGTCTGGCATCTATGGCTCATTCGGTAATATATGATGATCCTCGTGCTACTGAAAACAGGAGCGAGAAAATCCTCATCTGATGGCAATTTTACGACTCCTGACTAACGATCCAGAGGCCCAGCACGGCTCGACCTGCATGACTTTCTCAGTTCCAGAGCCACGTAAAACGAATGAGCGAACCTCAAAGGTATCCTGCAGCCAGACACCGCGGTTTCACAGGATCGCCAACAAATTTCCCCATTCGAGCTATGAGCGATGGAGCAGGCTTTTGTCCTCGGTGGCTTCATCGGAAGCAATTTCAGCTCCACCCTAGAGTCACGGCTGTCGGCACTACCTACCACGCTCTTGGTGTCGGACGCGTCCGAGCCGTAGAGCGGCGCCACCAGGCCAGTGATGGGCTCCCAGCCGCCGTGGAAGTCGAACGTCATCAGATTGACGAAGTCCAGGTACTTGTTCATGCTGCCGACGTCGTAAGCCTTCTGGACGATGTTGTCGTGGGCGGCCACCGCGGCTGTCAGGAGCAGGTCGTTGTCCTTGGCGTCGAAGACCTCGCGCAGCTCCTGCATTCACCGGTGGTGTTACGCTTCGGAGCTGGCGCGTGTGCACGCATCGAGACAGTGGATGCAAACTGTTGGATGACATGTTGACTAAAGATCTGCCATTTTATTGATCAGGTGGCTGATGGTGTTGCGTTAGACCTGTGTGTTTGGATGACGCTTGAACGTAGACGCCTTTGAAAAATCTTGCTCTTAGGAAGTGATCATTTTACCAACCGCCGCAAGTGCATCGCAAATAGCACTGCTGTGTGGAACAGGCCATGCCTCGTGAGAACTGCATTCTCTGCCATTATCAGGTAACGACGACCGTGCACACGCGGTGAGGCAGAATGTCATCAGGGCAGGGTGCCGGCATGTACAGGGCATGTACATGCCGGCAGGATGCCGGCACCCAGCTGGAGACGCACCTTCAGCAGCATGGCGAAGTTCGCCTTGTCGGCGGCGGCGCCGGCCGTGCAGTCGCCCTGCCAGCACACAGGGAACGCCCACTGCAGGTCCAGCCCGTCGAAGCCGTAGTCGGTGACGAAGCTGAGCGCCGAGCTGATGAACTTGGCGCGGCTGGCGCGCGTGGCCACCATGCGGCTGTACTTGTCGCCGGCCGAGTCGGTCCAGCCGCCGAGCGCCAGCAGCAGCTTACGCGGACCGAGCCGCTGCCGCATCCGGGCGATGAAGTCTGCCGGCGGCGGGGTCACGTGTGTCAGCTCCGGAGCGCATCCGCCGACTGACCCGGCCGGCTGGGATGGCTGGTCAAGTCCCGACCACCGACCCGGCCGGCTGGGATAGCTGGTCAAGTCCCGACCACCGACCCGGCCGGATGGGATAGCTGGTCAAGTCCCGACCACCGACCCGGCCGGATGGGATAGCTGGTCAAGTCCTGACCACCGACCCGGCCGGCTGGGATAGCTGGTCAAGTCCTGACAACCGACCCGGCCGGCTGGGATAGCTGGTCAAGTCCTGACAACCGACCCGGCCGGCTGGGATAGCTGGTCAAGTCCCGACCACCGACCCGGCCGGCTGGGATAGCTGGTCAAGTCCCGACCACCGACCCGGCCGGCTGGGATAGCTGGTCAAGTCCCGGCCACCGACCCGGCCGGCTGGGATAGCTGGTCAGGTCCTGACCACCGACCCGGCCGGCTGGGATAGCTGGTCAAGTCCTGACAACCGACCCGGCCGGCTGGGATAGCTGGTCAAGTCCTGACAACCGACCCGGCCGGCTGGGATAGCTGGTCAGGTCCCGACCACCGACCCGGCCGGCTGGGATAGCTGGTCAAGTCCCGGCCACCGACCCGGCCGGCTGGGATAGCTGGTCAAGTCCCGGCCACTGACCCGGCCGGCTGGGATAGCTGGTCAGGTCCCGGCCACCGACCCGGCAGGCTGGGATAGCTGGTCAAGTCCTGACAACCGACCCGGCCGGCTGGGATAGCTGGTCAAGTTCCGGCCACCGACCCGGCCGGCTGGGATAGCTGGTCAAGTTGGGGTGTGTACGGAGCAGGCCATAGACCGACGCAATGGCCTCACTGCGCCACGCAGAAATCACATGAAATAATGCGGAACACTCGCAACGTTTTGCAGGAGCGTTGGCCGACAAGTTTGCGCTTTTTCCGCCAGTTGTTTGAAGCTCAGCACCATAAGTGGCCCTGCCCTGCTATTAAGTTCAGTAGTGTGAATCAATCTAACTTCATATATATCTTCAAACATCATCCTAACACGACTGCTGCAGAGACGGGAGCAGGAACAGTAGATGATATTGCTGCGGACATCAAGGCAAACACACTGATGATGATGACTAGCGGTGGTCTGGTGATGATGATGGGCCGTGTTCGATTCTCGACATAATATTTCACCGGTCGCTGCGCCACGTGACGGGACAGACGCACGTGAAAGGTTACGCGAAAAGATGGCGCGTCGCTGCCGGCCTCGCCAGCGAACAGCAGCAATAAATAACCAGGTAACCAATGCTAAAATATGACCTAGCCGAGGTCGACCCGGACCATTGAGACCCCACGTTTCCACGGGAAACATGACTGTAAGTTATGTCCTGGGGGCTAGGTGACTGACACGGCTCGATCCTCACGCGGGAAAGCTGACGGGTCGTTACACTGACGACTTGTGCAACATTCTGGTGTGCCGTCAACGGCTCAAGTGTGCTGCTGGCCATGCTCCCATTGGTGTCCATGCAGCTTTTTTAGTTAAACGAGTAACAGCTTTGACAATTTTGAGCTGCAAACAAGTTTTTGGGCTAAAAGACCACTAGACTTTTAAATTTGCTTTTGCAGGGGTGAAACGCACCACAAGGTAAGTGCTTGACTTGTAATATTGTTTAATATTATCATGCGCTGGGAGGGGGGGGGGGGGGCTAAGCAGAGAAATGTCAACCAACAGACAATATATCTTGTGGAGGAACAGCTTCGAATACCTCCCCACCAATGACGTTGATGAAAAATTCATGAGAAACTAAACCAAATGCATATGCATTATGTAGCCTCAGAAGAATAATGAAGAACGACTTGATGAAATGGTCACAGCACCTTGGCGTCGACAAAGCTATTTAATCCCAGCCTTGGTCCCCGGAGAATGAACGGTCGCCCGCGGTTCGCCGGTCCGCTGAAGGCAGTTATCTGACTCAATTTATCGTGCTATTCTCCGAAATCATGTGGCAGTGACCCAGCACGTCTCAAAATGGCCGACCCCCAACTAGACAAGTCGATGGAGGCATCCAGTCAAGACAATGTTGGCCTCGCAGCGCCGGGCTAAAACAGACCACCGCAGAAAAAAACCGAGGCGAAGCCATCGAATCTGATTATCAAATCGGATCGACGGCTCAGACTACTGTCATCAGTGAATATCGGTGACTGACGTATGGAAACCGCTGTTCCCGTGCTACCGATGACAAGTCAGTATAGTCTGTACGCAAGCTAAGCTGAACTTAAAGACCAATCAGCTGTTGAAGGTTCGGTGGCTTCACCGACCAGGGGCATATCGTTATGCTGGAAGCTTTTAATGTTCAGTAGGTTAGCATGCTTAGTCAAACCTAAATTTGCAAAGCTCCTTTCTGGGTGAATATAAAACTACGAACCCTTGGGTAAACCGCACATGACAGTTCTTTTTTGGGCACGTTATTTTCGAAACTTTTTGTGACCTCGAACCAACAGTCCCATTCACTTCATCGGAAGGAGTAATTAATATTGATGATGGCGCTCCATCGCCCCTTCATGCACCGGGCTCCCTGGTCTATTGTAGGCTAAAACCAGACACTGAAACGCGGCCTGTACTAAAGTCGGCAAATATATTACTGACCAAATTCAGGGGCCCATAACCGTGCCTCACACGAGCCACGACTAGCTTCTGGATGGGAAGCCTCCGCGAACGCCGCGCTCGCGTGACATTGGGCGGTGGGAGCCCTCCGCGGACATCACGCCCACGGGCGGTGGGGAGCCCTCCGCGGACATCACGCCCACTGGCGGTGGGGAGCCCTCCGCGGACATCACGCCCACTGGCGGTGGGAGCCCTCCGCGGACATCACGCCCACGGGCGGTCCGCGCCGTCCCGCCACACGTACCACCGCAGTGAATACGAGTACGCCCCTGCGGCTCACTCACTGTTGTCAAAGTCCGTCCACTCGTCGAATGAGACGAGCGTGAGCTCGTTCGGGTCAAGCACGGCGTACTCGTAGATGACGTGCGAGCAGAGCGTCGGGTCGATGTTCTCTGGGGCGAAGGCCGAGCCGCCCTCGCGCCGCCACGCCCAGTTGGTGAAGTAGCAGACCACCTTGTTGTCTGTGAACAGGTGCGGTTCGTGCTCAATAACGTTTCGTCACTTCTAAAACTGTCACTGAAGACAGCTGTGATACCGCAAGTGATGCAGTCTATGTCTATGAGCTGCAAAGACTCTGGTAGCGTACATGCTTTGCTTTGTTCACGTCTTATGTTGCAGCTCATGTTATGCCAATGTTCACCTGTTCGAGGAAGTTAAAAGTTTAATGCAAGCGTACGTAAAAATGTTGATACGTTACGTCCCGAGTTTCTTGATAAGAAATAATGCCACTGTTAAAGGCCTTATCTCTGCAGCCGGAGCTTGTCTGAGTTCTGAGCACCAAAACTCTGTGAGGTGGTATGGATACACCAAACAAGCAGGAATCTGCAGCGGAGAGATATACTGCTCTCTTTGACATACATCACGGAGGCAAATTGGATTTATCCGAGGCGCTCGTGGGAATTATGAAGCAGGCTGCTGTGTGCGTCAACAGCATTAAGGCTGTGGCGGCGAGAAAAATACTTGTCAGAGCTAATTGTAGCTGACATGTTTTTGCTTCCTAATTTTCTCGCTGAGTTTTAAGAGCCTTTAGCCACCTTCCTACGCATCTGAAAAGTCACCCCGCCATGTCACAGAAATAGCTTGTCGGACGTGCTACATCATGTTGCAATGCCTCTCCGGCGCATCAAGTGGCTAACAAGTGGGCTTTCTGTAACATGCAACAACTTTTGTCAGCGTACGAGATCGAACGATCCCTCTAGAGAACGTATGAAGACATCACGCAATTCCCACGACAGACGTTCACAATGAGGATAGGCTTAACGCCTTTCAGGCTTTATCCAGATGCCGTTGTAAAAAAAATGTGGAAAAATTTGCTCGTTTGTAGTCAGGAACGCCGGTCAGGCACCGGTGCCGGATGTTGGCTGTAATGCAGTGCGTTTGCTGCGTGGTGTATAGGGAAGAGACCTTGCGGTTTGCAAACAGCACAGCCACCACGTGCTGCCGCCAGTGACGCTCACCTTGCGAGGCTCGAGTGGCGACCATGTCCGGGCCCAGGTCATCACCAATGCCGGCCACGCGCGTGGCCACGCCGCGCTGGCACTGCACCCTGTTGGGGTAGTTGCAGGTGCCCGAGCGCGTGTCGAAGTGCATGTGCGGCCCGCAGGTGAGCTGGTGCGTGCGGCCTTGGTTGCACCACACGTACATGCTGCAGTCGTCCGGGCTGGAGAAGAGCCCGCTGCCAGAGCGGGGGCACTGGAACGTGGGCGGCTCGCGCCCGTCTGCCGGCACAGTCGTCCCCCGGTCAGCTGACGGCCGTCTGGTGGCCGCCTGGGGGCATCAGCGCGATCTCAGGGGCCGCCGAGGTCGCCAGGGCACCTCCAGGGGACTTCGAATCGGTGTGATGTGGAGAGGTGATGAGAGGAAGCGGAAGTGGGTCCGGTGACTGGGTGCCTTGGGGTCGTGAGTGGAGAGCAAGCTGCAGTAGCTGGCATACCTTTGCAGTTAAGTTTGCGCAATAGTTTAATCTCTATGTTTCGCGATGAATTACATTTTCAAAGTTGTCATCGAACAGTCCTCGTTCCGGTGGAATCACCACGCGAACTTTTCCCTACAGTCTCAAAACGTGGTTGTGACAAGTTTACAATGAGCCAGTTGAACCTAACAAGAGTCTGGTGGCCGAGTGCCTTGTGACCGTGGGTGGAAAATTGGAAGCGACGCGGGCTTGTGGAATGTGCACTGGGTTAATGAGCTGCTGTGGCGCGTAATTCGCTGCCATGACATAAGCACTAGCGATAAAACTAAAGTTTTTTTTCTGTCAGTCGCCATCCAAAACACCTCCACAAATTGGATTTGGCCAGCAGAACCCTGCGTGACAGCCTGTGTATCTCAGCCATGGGATTCGCATGGAGCCTGGAGACACCGCAAGGGCGTCACCAGCATCGCGAGCCTGACGTCGCGCCGTTGGCCGGTAAAGCTCACCGAGTCCTTCCTCTTCGACCATGCCGGCGCCGCTCGGGCAATCCGACACTTGGTCCGCCCAGTTGCAGACGTTCTTCTCGCTGTCGAACACCAGGCCGTCGTTGCAGACCGACTTGTGGCCCATGCCGTTGGAGCAGTGGTAGTAGACCTTGCAGTTGTGCGGGTCGCGGAAGAAGCCGTCCGCAGGGCAGCTAAACTCGTCCTGGCTCGACGGCAGCGACGTCGCGCCGGTCGATGCTGAAACCGCAGACGCAATGACGTCAGAGCGCGCTTGTGATCCGGCTCCAAACCCAGGAGCCCCTGACAACCATAGTTTTGCAGTGGTTACGTAACCGTCGGTGACAAACACAAGCCCGTCCCAGGATGTGCGCCTGCCTGAGCGTGTGTCCATCTGTTGACCTGTCTGTCAGCGGCAGCCGAGGCAGCCCTCGTGGCGGCGTCGTTAGTGGTGAGACGGCAGTAGCTATTGTGCCAGGGCAGACTTGTTGTCGCGCCTTTACAGCAGATAAGTGACCGTGACAGGCATTGTTGTCGCAATAATGCTGTTTTTGGCGGAGGTGAATAAGAAGGGATCCGCGCAAAGCAGATGGAAATTAGCCGGAAACAGGGGATCGCATCGTAAACTTTTCAGCCTTATTTTTGTGAGAGAAATGAAACAGTTTGTTTTTACATGAAACGACAAAAAATGCTTCGCACGGGTGGTAAATTGTGCGAATTTGTAATGACAGCCACTGACGCTTCAGGCAAAGCGCGTTACACGTGGCATTGAGCTTAACATCTTTAAAAGACCTAAGCCATCGGACGACCGACCAAACCAACGCCACGATCTGTGGACTCACGGGAGGACGTCGTGGTCGGCTTCTCCATCATGGTGGAAGGCTTCTCGGTCGCCATAGGTTTCATGGTGGTCATGGACTCGATCGTGGTCATTGTCCCAGGCATGGTGTCCGGCTTCATGGTGTCCGGCTTCATGGTCGTCATGGGCTTCATGGTCGTCATGGGCTTCATGGTCATCATGCCGTCGGTGCTGAGCTTCTCATTGATAGCGCGGAGCAGGGGCCACTTGCCGCCGCACACGCCCTGGAAGTCGTCCAGGTCGATCGCCCAGACGAAGGCGCCGCCCAGTCCCAGCTCCTTCACCAGGTCCATCTGCGGCGCGAGAGCAGCACGGGCGGCGTCAATGGGAGACGCAGCGGAGGAGATGTGACCTGAGATGCGGGACGTAACACGGCGCTTTATAACGCTCAGCGGATCGTGTAGTACAGCCCGTTTCTCCAAACGCCAACAACATTTCCCACGCTGTGGCCCACGGCCCATGAGCAACGCTGATTTGCACCCGGCCTCACCTTTTTGGAGACGTATGAGTAATCATCGTAGCCGACCCAGGCTTTGTCCTTGTAGGCATAAGGTCCGCCGGCGCCGTCCTTCTTGATCGTCCAGCCCGGCTCCTGCGCCAGCGTCTTGCACACCTCGAAGTAAGCCCAGTAGCCTTTCTCCTACAGGACACATTTTTGGAAGCTCAACGCATGCAGCTCAACTCGTATACAAGAATACGTGAAAGCAGTATGTTCCTCTTGCTATAGCAGTGCATGCAATATTAAATGTAGCTGAAGAAAAATTGCGTTTTAGCTACCAAACCAATTGCAATCTGTTCCTGTTTATTAATCTAGATAGTGTAAAAATTTGCAGTCCATATGGTTGTTACTTACAACTCGTATCATGTTGTTAGCACTTCACTATTAAACAGTAAAGTCCAAAACTTTTTACCACTTGAACGTTAACGGAAAAATATATGAGCTGGTGCAATCATCACACATTCTAAGAAAGCTCCACAATTAGCTCTAGTATAAGTGCCGAACGACGCAGTCACCATAAGACTTGAAGTCAAAACTTCGGCAGGGGGAAAATCATGACCCGACACAAAATTGCCTGTTTGTTCCCGGTCAGATCCTGATGCTAGATGCATCTGATACTCAAATGGTTTCAGGGCACTTGCTCAACTGATTCCGATAGCATACCAAGCCCGAGCAGGCCTGCACTGGGTGTCTGTGGACGCTGTGATGCCACCACGGCATGGCTGGCGCGCCGGCCGGACCGGCCCGGCGGGTAAGCACCTGAGCCGCGCCGCAGCCCACGTCCGGCGTACCACTGACCTTGGTGTATATGGCCGGCAGGCCAGTACCTGAGCCGTGCCCCAGCCCATGCCCGGCGTACCACTGACCTTGGTGTACATGGCCGGCGGGCAGGCACCTGAGCCGCGTCGCAGCCCACGTCCGGCGTACCACTGATCTTGGTGTACATGGCCGGCGGGTAGGCACCTGAGCCGCGCCGCAGCCCACGCCCGGGGTACCACTGACCTTGGTGTACATGGCCGGCGGGCCGGTGCCGGTCGAGGCGGCTCCAGGCGTCGTGTCGGCGCCTCGCAGCATGAACGAGCGGCCGTAGAACGGCACACCGAGCAGCACCTTCTTGGGGTCGGCCCCCTTCTCGATCCACAGCTTCAGCCCGTCGCGCTGCCGAGAAGAAAACAGTGGGCGTCAGGCTTTAATATGTTTTGGGACCGTCACACGATAGTAATGCTTCTGGAGGACGTTTCGCTAAAAATATCACTGTAGGCTAATTGCCGACAAAGTTTGGCAGCATTCCATGGTAATAACAAAAGTCACGACCTGACTAGGTGTCTGGTTTGAACAGGTACAACCGAAAGGTCTGCTGACACGAAATTAGAACTAAAGCATGCTCGAAAATAGAATTCAACAGATAGTATCTGAGCTTCTCTGTCCAGAATGACGTTACTACAGCGTCAGCTACTGACAAAACATATTAAACAACGTTACTAGTCCGCGTGTCCACATTTTTATGCCATCTTCATTTCTTTTGCCCGTCAACATGTCCCTACACCCGCTCCCCAATAACGCTAACTTTGCACGACGGCCAGCTCCCACCTGACTGCGCACCGACACGCCGCTGGCCGAGCACTACTCACCGTGTTCAGCTTGGCAAAGCTCCACTTGTCGCTCTCGCGGCGGTGCAGTGGCGAGTGATGGTCGGCGAAGTTCTCCCAGGGGCCACGCAGGTCGTACGTCATCACGTTGATGAAGTCCAGCTTGGCGGAGAGGCGCGGCACGTGGTAGCCCTCGTTGACGCGGAAGCCGGCCGGCGAGACGGCCGCCGAGAGGAGCAGGCCGTGCGGCTGGAACGCCGCGTATAGCTCCTCCACTAGCAGCGCGAAGTTCTCCTTGTCACTCCACGTGCCGTTGCGGTCCGAGGCGCCTGAGGAAGGTGCCAGTCGTGATGAGCCTTATGTATACAGACATTGGGCTTGCTTTATTATCACTAAGGGTACCAACCCGGCGCTGTGAAATCTGGAGAATTTCAAGAACTTTCTACAGAGCAGCGAATTAATCTCTCAAACTCGCAAAACTAAAAAAAACTATCTTAAGTTTGTTTCTAGGCACTAATCTCATTAAGAGCCCTGAGATCCCTTTGGAAATTCGAGGCGGCGCTTTGCTTTGTTGAACTACAGATCGCGTCTTTCGAGTCTCTTTCTTTTCAAGAGACGCCTAAATTTTGTTCAGCACTTCGTGATGCCGAGAAAACCTGACAATGTATCGGTTGGCGACCATGCAAAATTATTCAAAAGTGCTGTTATAATTACGGTAATGCTAAACACTCAAGTGCGCTATTACTGCGACGCCCATAACCTGGTCAGCGTTCAGCGTGCTCCAGCCCTAAAGATTCGCCAGACTTGTTTTGATTGCTGGATCCCGTGCGTCGTTCTCAAACCAAACTGCGTTATCAAGAGCTGCCCTCGGTGTGGAGCGCATCGAAGGCGCCAAATCAGCCCATCTGACCCGGCCGACTCAACTTCCGCCGCATCGCAGCGGAACGGGCCGCGCGCCAGCCGAACTCACCAGGGTACTCCCAGTCCAGGTCCAGTCCATCGAACTTGTGCTCCATGAGGAAGGCGGTGGGCCGACCGGACGAAGCGCGTGCGGCTGGCGGCTGTGCTGGCCATGTCAGAGTACTTCTTGCCGCCCTCGTTCCATCCCCCGATTGCGATCATCACCTTCAGCTGGGGGTTCTTCTGCTTCAGAGCGATCGCCTCGGCATAACCACCTGTGATGGCAATAAGTCGGCACGTCTCTGCAACCGCCCACGGAACGTCTTCCGGCACTGTCGCATGCTAGGGTCGCTTACAGTGCCATGAAATGTCAGGCTTCGTCAATTACGGGTCGTAAATAACCACAAAGGCAAGTGCATCCACGGGGCTACCGATTAACCACACACATTTTAAACGCAACGTAAAGCAGTGCTGGATTTCCCGGAAGAGGACTGCAATACATCTTAAGCGATGGACCAGACTGGGGAAACCCATTGTCATCTATCTTTCGCGTGACCGCAACAACGGGTCGTCCATCGACTGGTGACGCCCGTCAGGAGCGTCCCGACGAGCGGGCCGAAGCCAGGAGCACCAGAGCGGTGCTCACCCTTCTCAATGTCGAGCTTGGGGTCCAGGCTGACAATCTCCAGCGTCTTGTTGTGCAGGCCGGCGAACGAGTAGATGAGGTGCGTGCAGCCCTGCTCCTGCACGTCGGACGGGCGGAAGCTCATCGGCTCCGCCCGGTAGATGGCCCACGCGCCATAGTAGCACACGATCTTGTATCCTGCGGGACAAGCGATGGGTTCAATGGAGGGTCACTGATGTGTGGACTGACAGGATCGGTCGTGGTCAGGGTCGCTGTGGCCGGTTGGTGTGTTTGGTCACGATTAATTTTAGTAGCGTTGCGTGGCTGATTCCTGGAACTCAGCCCACTTAAACGCGAGGTAGCTGATTGTGGTAACGAAGACCAAGACGGCGTGACATTATCGCAATCGATCGCAGATTAGCAAAGGCCGAGAGTGTTTCTTCACATCCTGAAGCGATGACAAAACGAATAAGATCAGTCTTAATTAGCTGCAACAAAGTTGACCCCCCCCCCCCGCCCCCGTGCCGCTGTGACAGGTTTCAAGCCTATGAACCGGCCCGGCGTCCAGTGCTGTGGCCTCACCATTCTCAGCAGGGGTGCGGATGGCCGGGGCGCTGCTGTAGTCCCTGTAGGTGAGCCTCTCCAGCGCTTCGGCCGCCGGCCCCTCGCCGGGCGGGCTTTCCACGTGTCCGCGGGGCATGGTGGCCCTCGTGAGCGGCGTCCGGTCGTCGCCCCAGTAGGCGGCCTGGCTGGCCTGGGGCGCGCAGCTCAGCGCCAGGAGCGCCGCCAGCGCGCACGCCGTCACCGACATCCGCATCGTGAGCCTGCCGAAAGTCGCGTCACTCAGCGCGGGGCGGGCGCTATCGTCCCGAGCGCTGCGTCCTCGAGCACGGGGCCGGTGACTCACGCGCCCATCGGCGCGTTCTTGTGTACCGGACGTGAGTGTAGCCGCTCGATAGCTGGGGCGACACGTCACCCATGAATAGCTTGGGCGACACGTCACCCCTTCAGAATTGCTCTGGAGTGGGCTTTAGTCTCCCTTTCAGTGCTGGTCACAAATTGTCGTTTTCTCACTTCCCTGTTGAAAACAATGTTCATGGTTAATTGTTACCCAGATCTTAAATGGTCTGTCTACAATCCCTCGGATGTTGCTACACCTATGGTATGGAAACCGGCAGAAATGCTACAAATCGACGTGGTGAAATACAAGGATATCGTGGGGATCGAGGTAAGGTGCATTGTCGGCGAGGAGAAAATTGAAATTTTTGTTCCAAAACACAAGTTTTGAACTGAAGCTTGGAGAGCCTGTCACCAGATGGCAATGCCAATAATTCCTGGGAAGATATGCAACCCGCTATAGCTTAGATGTACTTATGCGTAGACGTTTGGGGTCCTCTGCCGGGTCCTCACCCTTCATCATTACGCCTGGGACATAATTGCGCAATTACATCACCAGGTGGAAGAAAATGACAGAAGTCATGATGATAAAAACTCCGCTGGAATGTCATCAATTATTTCTCTATTGCGTGCCGTCAAAAAAGGGATTTAAGAAATTTCTTAAGCACCACGTAGCAAACACGCTGATCAATAGCGGAAATAAAAAATACATCATCCTATCCGCATGCTAGACAGATGGCAAAGCACGTAAATAACTAATGAGCATATTCATTTGACATATCGCACTCCGCCCCATGGCCAAAGACGCTCACATAACTCATTCAATTAGCCCGTACCGGTGAGTTATGACAGGGCGGCGGCGGCCGGCCGCCGGCGCGCGCGGTTACGGCCCGTGGCGCGCGAGCGCAGGTGGCCAGCCGACCTTGGCAGTGACCGATAACGAGCGCCGAGAAAAAGCCGGCGCTGTGACGACACACGGCGCTTGCGGCGGGACCATCGCAATTAGGCGGCGCATAGTCGCGAGTTGAGGACTGACGAGCCGCGCGTGATGCGTCGGCACTAGCCGGTCGGGCCGGTCCCCGCGCCCGCGCCCGCGCCCGCCGGCCGCACGTGCTGGCGCTGATGTGCGCCACGACCGACCGCGGCCGGCGGCCGCTGCGGGAATTGCGAAACTTTGGCAGCTCTCGTTAACGACTCATCCAGAACAAGGAGGTGGTATGACGTCTCGTCCGTCTGCGCAGACAAGTCTGGTCTGATGACGCCAGATTTGATCAGGTGCTGCAGAGGTCACAGCCGGAGTTGGCGCACAGGCGAATACAGGAAGCGATGCGGAACAACGGGCTGGACGTGAACTCTGCCTCGTTGTGATAACGTCATCGCATACCACTTTTAAGGTGTCACATGCAGGATGGATGCACATCTGAGGATTTGGCCTTTAGAAAACCTGCGGCATTTCATTTCTTACCTAAATCACCACACGTAGAAGGCAGCGCAATCAGCTATTTTCAGTAGGACAGCGAAGCAGTCAAGCAGATCATTTCAGGAATCTAGCACGCTCTATTTTTCAAGAACAGACGGGGGTAAGTCATGCCTGGAAAGAAAATGCTGGCATTTAAAATATCATTAACGCTCCCTGTGATATTTATCATGCGTGTGGGGTTTTATCTCCCAACGGCGACTAATTTCCCGACGCAAGAAGCACGTCAGTTCGAGATTAATTATGCTACCTCGACCTTATTTGGTCCCTAAAACTCCATCGGATACGCTTCGCTAGGTAGATAAATTACATCTGTCTAATGCCTTTTTGACCGATCTTTTGATTGGCGGCTGAGTGGGGCTTAGGTCAGTAACCGACCGTCCTTGACCTCTCGGTCCGCAGCCGGCTCTTTAACGCGCAGAGTAGCGAGGTGTTACTAACGGCCGGCTGGGCCCTGTGAACGGGTCGAAGATTTTGTGCATGCATGAGATCGACTCCCTTCTCTTGTGTGACTGCGTTGGCACCACATCTGCGGGTGCTGAACGAAAGCGCAGATAACAATGTACGACCGTACGTATGACGCTAGCATCCAGTGGACGACCATGCACATTCAACTCCATACGTAGATTTAAGGCCAGTCGGGTGCAATGCCATCCCAGAACTACGTCATTAATTTGTTCTATCGCTTGCAAAACACAGCGGATCGTTGGCCGTGAGACGTGTCTCGTGACCTGCAGCGTGACTCAACAGGGGGCGCCCAGGTCGCGCCACCGGTCATCGGACGGGATAACATCAGCCAGCTGGGGTCAACAGCCACGGCTGCAGCTCGCGGCCGGTTCGGCGGCGGCCCGGCCGGCAGGTCATGGACCGGCCGGCAGCCGTGCCGCACGCTGCAAGCGGCGCGCACCGCCGGCCACGGCCCGGCCACGGCCCGACCACGGCCCGACCACGGCCCGGCCGTGGCCCGACCACGGCCCGACCACGGCCCGACCACGGCCCGACCACGGCCCGACCACGGCCCGACCACGGCCCGACCACGGCCCGACCACGGCCCGACCACGGCCCGACCACGGCCCGGCCGCGCCGCGCGTCCCACTCGTCCCACTCGTCCCGCTCGTCCCGCTCGTCCCACTCGTCCCGCTTGTCCCGCTCGTCCCGCCCGTTGACCCGGTCGGCACGGCCCAAAGGCTCGTTCGACACGCTCCAGCTGTCCCAGGCGGTGGGATTAGCCGATCGGACGCGCTCGACCCGTCCGCACCGGCTCGCGGCGGCGCGGCACGCCGGCGCCGGATCCGGCGGCGCGATTGGTGCGGTTTGGCCAGCGGCTGCGCCGGCGCGCCGGCCCGGCCTCTGCAGGGGCGCCGCGCCCCGGCCGCTCCCGGCCACTGGAACGCGGCTCCACGGCGCAGCGATCGCCGCGGCCGCAATCCCAGACCTCTCGCCGGCAGGCGTGTGGACACCGCAGCCGGCGAGGCTGAGCGAGGCCCGTTTTCAGGTCGGCTCGGCGCGGATAATAAAAGCCGGCCCCGCCCCAGGGGCGGCGTCGTGGCTACTCACCTTCCACAAGGTCAAGCGGTAAAACAGGGCCGGTGGCGGCGCCGGACCGGGGTCGCTGACCCTCTGGTCAGCCGGGCCTGACACTGGGTTGGGCTGGTATGTCGGCAGAGCCCGAGCCTCGCTGCCTCGCGGGCTCAGCCCGCTCCTCCGGTGGCAAGCGGGACTACCACGGCACACGGCCTGCCTTCAGCCGACCTTGCCGCAACAGTGACCCGCGCCGCCGATGACGATTATTTAGCCGTCCAAACGGCAACAGACCACATCGAAGACGAGGACGGACATCCCTCGGCGCACCTGCTGCCTGAACTCGGCTGGAGTTGACTTGTCACAGTGGGCGTGAAGGACGCCCGGTTGTTAGCCATGAGGTTAAAGTGCAACATGGACAATGATCAAGCGGCCCTCGGGCGTAACCCGCGGTGCATCTTCATGACTTTGTTTTCGTTACATGATCCGTGGCCTTTCGTGGCGGCATGCTCGGAAGGAAATGTAACGAAGCACAAACCAAGGAGAGGTGGGGCGGCAAAGGACAAATGCACTTAGACTGAATGCTTTTTCACACTTTTTGAGAACGAAAAGAGCTATTGCTATGTGGCTAGCTCCTTAGGCACAAAGTGAACACCCGAATGCAATTGCCCGCATCACTGAAAGTTGTGCACCTACTACTAAGCTCAGAAAAAAACAAAAATATACACATATGTAATTTAAAGTTACATAGAGGAAGGACAGTAGGCATTCAACCAGTTTTGCAGATTTCAAAGGCAAGTGACCTTTCATTACTTTTCGCAAGTCGATGACCTTATGCAATCTCTTGAGCCATTGGATCGTCAAAGGAGCTACGCCCAGCAGGAGGGGCGGAAACCTCGTCGAAGCAGTGCTGAGAATTCCAATCACTGACAACTGAAACAGCGGCATCGACAACCATTGCATTCCTCTGACCTCTCGCGGCCAAATACCCCGAGTTTGATTATTACGGTCACCTCAAGAATTTCCCATCGGTAGATTTGCCCCAGGGTGCGTTCCAGGTATTTCCGGACATTAAACCCAATCGACGCCGAGCGGAGTAATCCAAGTAATGTTTGCTCTTTTGCTGAGTTTGATAACTTTTGCGCATGGAAGAATGTGTTTTATTGGACCATCTGCCAGATGCGTGGCACGGACGAGATGACGGCCGCCGGATAATGCACTCACAGCAGATGCTAGAGATGAAACTGGGCCAAACTAATCGACAAAGTTACGAGGGCTGCCAGAGAAATCCAGTCCCTCCAATTTCATGATTACAGAGGCAACCTTAATTTACACCGTAATGAAGTGCCAGCTTGCACCATCCGGCACAGCGCTCTCAGATTCCAAAGTTCCCAGCAAATGTCACAAGCACCTTTCGGCCGGTGCGACGGACACCTGCCGGTGGTGGCCGGGCGTGGCAACGAGCTCCGCTCTCCCGTGGCACCTCCCGGGGCGGCGCAGCAGGCCGCTGCCGACCGTCTTAGACTGACCGACGGTGTGTGCGCGCGCACCGCGGGTGTGTGGTGCCGCGCCGAGCGCACCGCAAGACGTGCCATAGAGGCATGCCACGCGTGTGTACCGCGCTGTGCATCACTGGCGTGTGCCATAAAGGCATGCTGCAGGTGTTTACCGCGGTGTACATCATTGATGTGTGCTACAGAAGCACGGGGTGCAGCACGGGTGTTTACCACGAGGGCGCACCGCAGGGATGTACTAGAGTTGCACCACATGGGTGCGGTTGCACCACAGGGGACTAGTGCGGGTGTGTGCTGAAGGGTGCACCACTGGTGCGTACCGAAGGTACGCCACAGAGTGCACACCGGGGATGCACCACGGTAGTGTCTCACAGGGGTTAACCACAGGAGTCAGCCACAGGGGTCAGCCACATGGGTCAGCCACAGGGGCGCTCCGCGGTGGTGTGCTGGAGCGAAGCGGCGGGCCCCACCGCGTCGGAGCCGCAGAGGCTAGCAGTCGGGCGGGTGCCGCTGTTGCCAGGCGACGCCATGGCCAGATTTGGGGGCCAGCGGCTGAGTCGTCCAGCATGATTTGCATCAAGCTGCTGCCGAGGGCATTGCCACTTGGCTTTGAAGTGCACCGCATCTGAATGCAGTGTTGATATTTGGTGCAAATTTGGTGGCGCTTTATTTTATAGCATCTTTGCTCGGATCCCTAGCATCTCTATAGGTGTTTTTTGGTCGAAATGAGTTGCACTCATCTGGACGAGCGTGCGGTTTGCGGAAACTCGTACGATCTTTGTGAAGACTGTCAAGCCCAGGACATAGACGGACAACGTATGGACCGTTTAGGCCGATTCATCTCAAGCCAACATTTCCTTTCAATAGGCATTCCTGCGGCACTCGAGCAAACGGTACTAGCATCCAGGTAAAACGCCGTGCTGCAGAAGATTTTCCCTCATGATAGCCTTATCGAATTAAGCGGCTTAAAGGCGGCTGTCTGGCCAAGAAATGCTGCCAAAGAACCGCTGACTAGGTCAACACACCGTTTTTCCCCACAGAGGGTGGTGTATCTCGACTAAATCGCAGTGGTAGTATTTCATGGTCAACGTGTCCAGGCAGGGCGCTGTGAAGGTCGCCCCAGCTGCCTTTGCCGGCCAGCCAGTCGGCAGGTGCCGCTGGGAGGCGGTAGGTGCTCAGGTCGGTGGATAACGGCTAATCGAGATACACATGTTTGTGACCTGTTTTTGTTTCGTGTCAACCGCGAAGAAACAAGATCACCATGTGATCACCACGCAGGTAAGTTTGAACACGCCTTCTCTTGATGACTAGCTACCGTTATCGTTATAACGCATTTGCATGACAGAGCGACCGCTAAACGTCCGCCAAGCGCTGTGCCTTGGATCAGCATTAGTCAACGACAGCTCTACCACCAAATGACCGCAGTGAATCACCAGCTGATAGCACGCAAACTTGGCATCCCCGCCCCGGCCCATCCCAGTCATGAGAACGTCTTCTGGGTACAACCTCGTGACACTGACTCATCGAGCGGGCGCGAATGCGCGCTTCCTTCCGAGTCAGCTTCCGGCCTCGTCGCCAGCCGGCGACTCGGGAAATGTCACCACAGGCCTCACGGCCGCTGGCGAACTCGACCGGTCCGGCGCCCAGCCCGCAAACCAGAACAAACAGTCGCTAAACCGGCACAAACAGGCGGCAAACCGGCACAAACAGTGACTGAGCTTGGCGAGGCTGGACCCTGAGCAAGTCGACCGAGTCGGGCTGTCCGGGGTATGACGATACCGACATGAGCTTCGTGCCCACACCAACGTACGGAGGATTTGAGAACGTCCGGACGGAGACGCAGCTGACCGGAGAACGTCCGGACGGGGACAAAACTGACCGGAGAACGTCCGGACGGGGACAAAACTGACCGGAGGACGTCCGAACCAGGATACAGAGAAGTAGAGGACGTCCGAACAGAGGTGAATGGGTCGAGGAGCGTCTAGCCCGGGGAACGTCCCGACCCCCGGTCAAACGGACCACAGAACGCCAACCCCGGCCGAGGAGCGCAGCTCCACTGAAGCGTGAAAGTCATTCGCTTCATGATCGGTAACACCGCGGAAGTGGCCGCCGTGGAGCCGTTCGCTGGCGGCGGTGGCCTGTGGGGGATGCACACGGCAGTAGGCCGAGAGCCTCAAGAGCAGGCCACGAGTCACAGCTCACTGCCGGCTTGTGCTAATCTCCGCACGGCCGAGGCCACGACGACGGCCGTCCGGACGCGGCAGCGAGGCGATGAAAGCCCACCCGGGCAGACACGGACAGCTGGGTACGGTTCAAAGGGATGCCACCAAAGCGTCGCACAACGAAGGGCGAACAGCGTTTGGGGCGTGCTCGGAGTCCCACCTGTCTGGCACTGACGGACGGGCAATCCTCTGCCGCTGGAGAGTGACGCCTGATGAACAGCACCACCGCGCTCTGCGCTGTCAGCCCGCACCGGGTGCGACAGCCCGGCAAGGAATACCGACTTCAAGCTGCCACAGGCTGTATAGGCTTTATAGAACGGCGTCGTGCCGACGGGCCGCGGCCGGCCGTCCGGTCAGCGGGCGGGGCGTGTCGCGGCACGGCCAATCAGCGCGCTCGCCGCCGCTGTCCACTGACCTCTTCCTGTTGGCGCGCCGGTCGGCTTCCTGGTGCAGCGGTCGGCTCCGCCGGCTGGAGAGGACCGGCCGGCGGCCGAAGCTGGCGCGGGGCGCGCCAGCGGGATGGCCGGAGACAGGTCATCACCCACACACCGCAGACTCGATTTAACCCTTGGAGATTAGCGACCGGTGCGCGCCTCGCCACGCGACTGGTAACAGCTGTTCCATTACGGTGCTCGGCTTCTGTTTCGGGCTCGGGTTGCTCAGCTGGGAAAGGTTTCGCCTCGTTCGGGCGATGAGGCCTGTGACTGAAGCGTACTGCAGGGATTCGCTGAATGCATTGCACTCACTTCAGTGCAAGCGTAGTAACATCATCTGGCAATGCCAAATGTGATCACACAAGCAACTTGTTAAGTTTAGCAGTAATTCAGTTGAATCGTTATGGTACATCGGCTTTTCAGCTAAGTGAAGTCCGCCTCTGTGGTCAATCAGCTGGCTGGGTAAACCAGGGCGAGGCTTCCTTTTACAAGACATCTATACGGGCGTTTGGGCCTGTGGGCTTTATTTTAATAAGACTGTGTCCCGGATATTGCTCGAGCTATTAAAAGCGGAGTATGGTGCAAATGCGTTTGATCAATCTAACAGCGCGCTGCGAAGGTTGCATTCACAGTTTGTAAAGGGTCTCTTCGGTAACGATAAGGAACTACAGTGTTAGCCTAAACTACGAAAACCATCGCTGATTCGTGTATGCATTAAGGTGAGCTTGACGCGGCAAAATTTCACTGAGAGGGTTAAATCTGATAAGAAAAATGCTGAACGCAAAACAGTGGACCTTCATATTGTAGCACCCATCTGACAACGTTTGGTCCCGTTTGACGAAATTCCGGCTAAGTGCCTGGTGAAGCCGAACCAAGCGAGCCAGCAGAAAACCTGGACCTCTTTGCCAACTTTGGGACTATGCATGCTACGGTGAGACTCATTTTTCTCAAAGCCCGCCTGGGAAGCTGAATCGCACGTTGATAGCACCCACCTGTAATGGATCATGACATAATGATGTAGCATTGTGTTTACAGTTCGCAATCCAACATCGCAATCTAAATTAAGATATGTTCTAACCATCCGTGAAGCTCCTTTCCCCAAATTTGCATTAGGCCCATTTGACTAAGCTTGATCTTGGATTACATAATACCTTACTATTGCCGAGTTGGGAAGATTCATGCCATACTGACTGTGTGCTGTAGAATCGCATCATCGTACTGTGCGGTAGAGCACAGGAAACAAACACAGAAAGCGCTTTAGAATGTATCTTTCACAACAAACATACTTTATCGGGTGCAAGAATGCGGAATGTGTCCGACATAATTATCGCAACAAATACACCTTTACTCCTCACATGTCCAGGGTAGGTTTCTTAATTTGCGCGCAAAATGTGGGAGATACTTGTGAAACGATCCTAAAAAACTCCAGGAGATTGTAAAATGTCTTTCAGAAACCTTCAGGATCCTGCGGTCTTTAGATTTCTTCGTCGGGCGGGGATTAAGACCATCGATGAACTCGGATGACTGGAACGAGCGTACCACCTCCGTTTATTTCTCAAAGGTAGTTGAACTTTCAAAGCCTTTTTAACCGGATGGGCTACGTGTCAGTCTGTAATGAGGCAGGGAACAGGTAGTGCAACAGACGTCCTAGAAAAGGATCTCTCCTCCGTTCGGAAGTTATGCATCATTGTTATGTTTTCGTACTGTTTCATGCCACAATGGTGTGCCCGGAAGCAAAGTATACCTAAGAAATCTGGACAAACCCAACTGACCGAATAATGGTAACTAGCTGGCTCTATTGCGGCGTAAGTTGATCACGTTCTCAGCGACCCTGGTAGATGGTGGTTTACGGTATTTTTGAAGGCCTTCCTGACGGTTGTTGACCTGTGTACCGTATGAGGTGGTGGGCAGCTCCAATAAGAGGAGGGGATCAACAGACATTTCCGCCATAAGTCCTGTTCCGTGTGGTGAAGCTCGCAGTATGAGGTGGTGGGCAGCTCCAATAAGAGCAGGGGATCAACAGACATTTCCGCCATAAGTCCTGTTCCGTATGAGGTGGTGGGCAGCTCCAATAAGAGCAGGGGATCAACAGACATTTCCGCCATAAGTCCTGTTCCGTGTGGTGAAGCTCGCACGGCGCTGAGCGGGGCTTGTGGCCGAAACATCAGCTGAGTGCTGATCCCCCGCTGACGTAAGAGCTGCCCACCACCCGACACGGTATACAGGCTAGCAACCGTCACCGATCTGATCCAGCTGCAGCCGATAGTAAAGCAACGGTTAAAGCACCATTGGAGACGTGGTAAATAATAATATAATACCAAGCGCTATGCGTCGGTCAAAATATGCGAAGACGTATGAGCTAGCTATGCTACATTATCAGTGAAGCTGTCAGAGGAATGAAACACGCGCGTGGGCCAGCTACTGAGAAACACACCAAATGAGCCCAGCAAGCAGCTGTATTGAGACGCTGTTACAACACAGCGAGTCATTGAATATAATTCCACAGTAATATTGTCCTAATTAGACTCCATTTGGGAAAGTCCCACTAATGCATGTCGACGCTACCGCTTATGCATTACATGTATTAAACGTGATTTTTGTCTACCTTAAGGAATCATTAAAAATAAAATACCTTCGTCAAAAGCCTTCTTCAGCATGAAAGCCCTTTTTGCAACATCACGTCACGACGTGAGCGCAGAGCTGCGGCCAAATGTCGCATGGATTGGTAAATAATCAGATCGATGTACATCCATCGTTTCAAGCGCGACTGCTTCAACCATCGAACCTCATCGGGTCAAGTAACGACGAAATCGGTGAATGTTGGTGCATTTACGCCTATGAAAAAGACCGTTCATCAACATAAAGCATAAAGCAATGAACATAAAGCCACAAAAGCATGTGTTCAGTACACTTCCCACGACAAAGATGACAGCATGACCTTCAAAAGTAATTTCCCAAACCTGCCAGCCCTTACCAGCCAAATTACAAAAAGGTCCGACAAAGGATACCGTGACGGTCGAGATCCCCTGGTCCTGAATTAGTCCCACGACCGAGCGTCTTTGTCGCCGCGTCCTCTGCTCCCCAGGCCTGTGTCCCTCGCAGAGTAGCGATCGGTCTCGGGCATGGCCCGCCCGGTGGGCCATTAGCAGCGGCGCGCTCTTTTTCTGCTAGGCCGCGGGACACGGAGGCGCCGTAAAAATGGAGGGGGTAACGGCCTCGCGCGGCACGGCCACCCGCGCCCGCCGCCACGCGCCGCGCGCTCCTCACGGCCAAGGTCGAGGGCCGCCGCGCCGCGGCGCCGGCTCTGCAGGGCCGTCACGCTGGCTGCGCTCGCGTCCGCCGGGTTCCGGCTATCGCCACTGATCTTCCGGTGGATGGTCGCCAGATGTCGCGTTCTGAGGGAGGAGAGGGGGGGGGGGGAGAGGATGCGCGACTGACTCAGCTAGCTCGCGCGGTGTGTTTTTTTTTTGTAGCGGGGAGGGGGTGATGCTGCGCATTGGTCTTTTCCGTTAAGATGGATCAGCGGAACGCTAATTCGGACAATCAGTCCGGATTGCGGTCAGCTTCACCCCCACGCCAGTCCCATACCGCATCAGAGCTTGATGAGTCACGTCAATGCCCCCAAGCACCCAGGCCAACACCGGCGCGCCAAGCGTAACGGTAAACGACCGTTAGATTTCAGCTCTTTTGCAACGGCAGTCGGCCGGCCGTATGTACGCTACTGCATCTGCAGACGGTGGAGTTAACCGCCGCATAAAACGGCAGACTGGTGGCGCGGTGCACGCCTATTGGCTTATAAAGCCACAGCAAGTATGCGCTCACGAGACGACGGCATGCTCGACCTAATTACAGTTCACACAAAATTGTCAGTGCAAGGCTACGCTTGCAAGGCTCGAGGACTTAGCTGTACGCAATTGTACGGAGACATTCATAAACAAGGTCAGCGTGAGGTATGACATTGGAGGGATTATCAAGGCTAGGAACATTACAGAGGGCCATGGCTGCTAGTGTAACGTAGACCTGGGCTCAAAATCTGCATGGCTTGCTAATAGAAAGCAGACTGACACCTACCAAAGGCAAAGCTAAATGGTGGGAAGCCCGTAATAATAATACAAAAACATCGTTGTAGCAAACTGCCTTCAGGAAATCATGCGTTAAAAATATGTTTAATGTTGGCTTGGAACGACTCTTCCAGGCATTGGACTTGAGAGAACAAACGGAATTGACATATTTAGCCATCTGTGCTATATCAATGCGAACAAACATCGCTATAACTGTTTTGACATCTCCCACCATTCTAACTGGGTGTCAATATTGAATTGTTGGACAGCCCGGCTGCGTCAAGAGAACACCGTGTGGTCACTTTACATTAAGTTCACCTGAATGTACTACCCTCTTTCACAAAAACCCACCTCAGTCCAGGACTCTTGCACTTGTTTCCAATAACATGATAACAATGGTTAAAAGGCAGACGCCTTTGGCAATAGGCTACGGAGCAAGACAAGCCCATAGTCTCATCCGGGTTGGGGGACAAGCCGGTGTCTGTTTCACAAAATTTTCGTTAAAAAAACTTTGATAATACTAGGCTTGCAGCGAACTATTACTTCTGAACATAGCGGCTTCAGCGCGGGGACTGCATGTACACATGAAAACACAACACCCAAATTGGTGTAGCGATTAGGGACGGCGATAGCCTTTACAATTTGCAACGGTAAAATAGTTACCTTTATATTTATAATAAAATAGTTCCCAGAGAGGCCATCGACTGGGTTTTAAACAGTGTCAACCACGCGGAACTTGTCCGGCTTCGGCGGCGAGGCTCGACCCGGCCTATGGCAC